GCACCAATTTCTAAGTAGCCATCAGGGATTGGCCAACTGGGTTGACCACAAGGGCCACTTATTGGATTAGTTCCTCCCACTACCACTAACCAGTTCCACCTTACTTAAGACATTAAATTTATGCTTAGCTTAAATGGGGCTAATTAATATTTAATTTTTTAACTATATTATCGCACCGTAAGTTATCATGGTTGAAGTTATTAATACATGTTTTTCCAATCTGCATCCACAGCTTGAATTATTTTCAGCAGCTTGTTATTCTTCATGCTTTCTCTAACAAAAGTACGATACATCAGTTCTTATACAAGAGTTATTATTTTTGTCTGTCAAGCTTAAAAACGGAAACATTTCCAATAAAATGTTAAGAAAGGAATTGAAATTTCCATGGAAACATTTAGTCTCCATTAAATAATATTAGTTTTCAGAAATTATTATTCATTAGTTTTACATTATTTCCACTACCTTCAAAAACTTTATATATTTGATATCATTTCGTCAAAAATCATCCTTTTTCCTGAAATATATTATAAATATACATATAAAAATGAATTATTAAAAAAGTTTCTGCAGAAAAACATTCTATTAGATCTGGATGTCTGCTCATGTCTCTTTAAATATTTGTGTTTACATAAAAAGTTATATGAAATTGAAGTTATATGTTTTTTCAGAAAAAGAAATCAGTGATATGATGAATTTTTCCTCAGTGAAATGATAATGATAATGATAAGGTAATGCACTTAGTTTTACTACTTTTGACCTATAGATAGTAGGAACTGAAAACCTCTTCAATTCCTGTTATCTTTAACAAGGTAAAAAAATAATCTGAAAAACGCATAGTGATACAGATTTAGTTTCTTTAATTTTTATTATAATGAACAATCCTTATGTAGTACTTGAGAGTTGTTGCTGCCAGAGACCTGAACAGACGGTTTGGTCACCTTTGTTTACTTTCGGTTGTTCACGGAATTCCATTTATAGTGAGATCAAAACATCTTGTGTCCATCCATCAAAGTGGAGCAACACTTGCAAGCAGTACCCTTACTCATATATAGATAATAGATATTTATCTACTTTAATGTATTGGGCTCCAAGACTAGAGTTATGTGGCTTAAATTGGTCAATGGAGTAATGAGATTTTTATTGCCTTCCGTTGATATGATAGATACAGTTTGTGTTGTTGTTTTTTTTTGTTCTTAATGTGTTTTTGCACTGATGTATATGACCAAAATTCACAAATGTGTTCTGAGTGGTTTTAATGCTATTAAAATTGTACTTCAAAGATTTTTTGTAGTAACCCAGTTTTTCTAGAAAACAATTTCTACTCAGAGTAGTGGTGGTAAATGAGGGTTGTGTGATGGGTGCACCAACATTTTTTTAATAAAAAATAATTGTTATATCTTGGTTTGAGCAAAAAATTAATTCTCAAGTTTTATCTTTGTTTCTAGCAATTAGATTTGCTTTCATAGGTATTTTCTTTACTATCCAAATGGAAATTGATATATGGAAAATTTCAACGTTGATGAAAGCTGGTAAAGAATTAGGATTCGATATAAATACGGATAAGACAAAATATATGGTTAGCTGCAAAAACAGCAACTATTTCGATATAGAAGGGGATGTGTTTGAACACGAACAAAATTTTAGGTATCTAGGGTCTATGATAACTAAAAAAAATAAATTGAAGAGGATATTAAGGTTAGATTGAAGACGTGAAATGCTTGTTATTTATCTTTTTCAAAACTTTTTATTTTATTTATAGTTATCGTCTCCTGTCCCAAAACTTGAAAATTAGTATTTACAAAACCATTATCCTTCCAACGGTTCTTTAAGGATGCAAAACATGGATGCTTACATTCAGAGATGCCATGTCTTAGTGTTTTTGAAAATAAAGTATTGCACAGAATATTTGAACCGAAAAAGGACGAGTCAACCAGAGAATTTAGGCAGTTACACAACCCTGAATTGAGTGAATTGTATTTGGTTAATATAATTGAAATGATTAAGTTGAGGAGAATAAAATGGGCATGTATAATTGCTTGACTTGGTAACGAAAGAATTCCTAAAAAAGTTATATGCGCTGCACCGACTGGCAAGCATCCGAGGAGTAGATCAAAGCGAAGATGGGAAGATTACATTAAGGCTGATCTGGATAGGTTGGGTTTAAATGGAGCCCGGTGGATGGAAGAATGTGGACATCGATTGGTGGTATCGGCATCAAACCTTCGGGTTCGCTAAGTCTTATTATTATGTTTGCTAAAAACATAGGTACCTTTGTGGTAACAAAATATCAAATCACATAATTTTTTTTACATAGCTAAAAGTTTTAAATATAATATTCGCTACGAAACCTCAACTTCATTAATATGAACTCTTAATTAAAGCTAATTAAACAAGCAAGCTTTTCTAAAAGTGGAGCATCTGTGGTCCAGCTGAGAGGGACAAAAAAAAAAAATCATGAATAATCAATCATTATATGAAAAATAGAATGTAGTTTAATTGCTTATAAGTCCCTTTTAAATTGTTTAAAAAAAGACTAACTCAAATTAGTGTTTAAATAGATTTTGCCTAGTTTGCATTGAAATAATTATTTATTGCCATGATAGAATATTTTTTTAGTTATCGTTCAAATTAAAAAAACAACAACAGTATGCCTCCTTTAATTACATTCTCTGAAGTTGTTAATAAGAATTACGGACAATTTCTACAAAGACAAAATTGAGCTGTTTGTAGTTGTTCTGATAAAATATTTGAAAATTATAGTATTAATATAATTATTTTCAAAATTGAATGTGATTACAAATCACATTAATAAAATTTGAGACACATTGGATCTTTTAAACAGCCCATTATTTGAATAAAAGATTCAAATCGAAATAATATGTTTGATTTCCAAGATTATTTATAAATAGAGACCAGATCTTCGACCAGTAAAAATCCGAAAAATATGCAGCAAAAAAATCAAAATGTGCAAAATTGTGCAGTAAAAACCCAAAATAAAATTATCTAATTTACACTTAAAAACATGCAAAATCATCTATTTTGTTTAATTAATGACATTGATAAATCAAAATCCTATCAAACCTTATGTTAAGCTTCTGAATTAAAATATGGTGTCACAAAAAAAAATCTGGTGTGTCCACTCACACGACTTTCCCACCTATTTCAGAAAAATATTTATATCTTTAAATAAGAGCTTGGTCCTAACAAAAATACAAGACATTTTTTCTGATTTTTTTTTTTATTTTTCAACATAGTCTCTTTGTAACTCTACACACTTCTTCCAGCGATGCTACCGTCTCTGTAATCCGTTCAAAAAGTACTCGGCGTTTTTCTCTGCGAAATAATTGTTCATGAAAGTGATAGCCTCTTAATTTGACGAAAATCTCTGTCCTCTAAAGCGCAGTATTTAGATAAGGGAAAAAAAGAAGTCACTTGGGGATAGATCTGGTGAGTAAGGCAAATGATCAAGCAGTTCAAACTGTAATTCGTGGATTTTCGCCATGGCAACCGTTGAGGTGTGAAACGATGCTTTGTTTTGGTGAAACAGATAGTTGATCAAAATAATTCCATGACTATCCCAAGAAAGAGTCCCAGCTAAAGAAACAGTTTTTCATTTTTTTGGAGGCGGTTCCCCCTTTGCAGTCCACTGTTTGGACTGTATTTTTGTTTCGGGCATATAATGGTGTATCCAAGTTTTATCTACAGTAATTAATCGGCACCAAAACTCAGATTTATTGTGCCTAAACTGTGCCAACAGAGCGTTGGAAATGTTCATTCGAACACATTTTTGTTCTAAGGTGAGCAAACGCGGAACTCAACATGCGGACAGCTTTCTCATATTCAAATGTTGATTTAATATATAACCATTTTAATCACTCTCTCTTTAACATCTCCAGAAAAAAACTTCCTTGTAGAGATGTCTCCGCCTTCCTAAAATACCCTGGTCTTTGGTAATCAATCTCCCTCCCTCGTCCTTTACATTTCGTGTTGGTTTGCTTGTCTTTCCTTTTATTGCTGTAATCTTTTTCCAGAAAACTTTGGCGTTTTCATGATAATTACTCTGTAAATTTTGATCAAATTCCTCTCAGCTCTTTCTTTTTGCCGCCCTCACTGCAGTTTTGATTCGTTTGTCCTTCAAACACGTTTGATTCGTTCTCAATTGGATGGAGTCTTGTGCCTATGGTACTATTTATATTCCTTTCTTCTGCACAAAAAGTTATTTAATGAATTTGTTTGTGTGGAAAGAATGAATTACCAATGAGCAGATGGCAGTCAACATACTTCGTCTTTTTGTAACGTTAAATTCGAATCTTTAACAGTCATAGAATTATTTACCTTCCTCATATTTTTCTTTCTTAAATTATAAATTTAATATGAACAAAATAGTAAAAGAAAAAAGAAAATATTTACACACACAGTCACATACATATTTATTTTAATAAATCATTTAATCTAGTAAAACTGTACAATTTAATGCAACAAAAATCAAAATCATGCAATTTAAACCAAAAACGGTAAAATGTGCAATTTTGTACAATACAAAATTTAACTGTTATTCTACAGGTCCTATAGGTTTTTACACGCATGCAAATAAAATGTGCAATAACATGCAAATCCAGTCTCTATTTATAAACATTTATAATTTATATTTTGTTTAAATGGCGGTGAGCGAGGCCAAATATTTTTTTATAACATTGGACTGTAATCCCCTATAAGACCTTAGGTCCTCTATATAAGCCACACTGAGCAGATGACAATAATCAGTCTTGTAATGAAAAGTAAAATAATGAGATTTTCCTGATATAACATTTTTTGTGGTTTGAAGAAGTAGCTAACTCTTCAGAAAATAGTGTGTTTACTTACTTAAATAAATTCAGACATAAAAAAAAAAAAAAATACATAGCCAAGAATACGATAATGAGGCAAATATGCTCCAATTGAATTCTCTGATAAAAAGATTGTGAACAATTAAATACTGAAAACCGAAAAATAAAACTGACCTGGAAATTAGCTGCCAACAATCTTCTTCGAACAACTTGTTTGACTGAATCAGGGCATGTATCAGAAACAAAGTTTTTTAGAGGTTTACGTAAAGCTTGTGGAAAAAGTCTTAATGATGATGGACATTGGTAGGGACCATCTTCATTTTCGATTCCCTCCTAAAAGTGAACAAAATATATCAATTATTTTTTTTGTTATTACAAACAACAAACAAAATGGTAGCTAAAAATAATTTGATTACACTATTGAACTTAAAAATTTCATAACTTGTATTAGTTTCCTTGTTCCTTGGATCCTCTTTAAAGATCTAGCAATTGCAATCAAGCATGAGTCATACTAGAATTATCACTAAATTAAAAAATAAACAAATAGTTAAAAAACAGTATCTGTAACATGTCTTCTGTAGAATCAAGACAATATTTACGAGAGTGGTCTGAAAAGTTTCCGACCGCAATGTGGAGATGGCAGCATTCGGAAATAAAAGCAAGTGAATTTCGTTGTTCATCTGTTGACAGTTACCCACTAAAGTTTCAGCCATTTTGGACACGCAGGTACATCAAGTTCATCTTCCCACTACCAGGCAGCGCTCTACAAGCTCGACTGTGCAACATACTAAAATTGTATCTTTTATTTCTTATTGTTGTATTATAATTGTTATAAGTATTATTGTTGTATTATAGTTCGATCACTCTGGTTGAGGTTACCATCCTTGCGGAGTGTTAAGCTTGATCTCTTACAACACAGGCCAAGAGTGATTGGGTGCTGATCCGCCTGTCACTCGATGCCATCCTTCTATACATCTTCCTTCATCCAATCAAATCAGTCATCTTAGCCTCAATAATGAACACACACTGTTGAGGCCTTCTGGTAACTTACATATACTTGCCTCTGCATATATATATGTCGACAAAATCAACATTTAGATATGAGAAAGCTGTCCGCACATTTGGTGCTGCATTTGCTCACGTTAGAATAAATGTGTTCGAATAAACACATTTATGTTGACGCAGTTTAAAAAAAAAAACCTGTACAACTACAACCCATGAAGGATCTTGGGTTCAGTACTATTTAGGGAAAGCACTGTTTCTAGGTCAACAGTTGTGCAAGGAGGTGATGTGACTGAGATCAAGCTCAACCATCAGGTTTTCCCCCTTAATTAATTGTTTAATTAAGGGTGCCCACTTTATAGAGGCTGGGTTTGCCCCAGGAGGGTCTCCCGACCCAGGGTCGCCCCACAGCCAATGAAACAGATAAATAAATTTTCTGCCACGAGGTGGGGTTCAAACCTGGGGACCTTTAGCATTAGAAGCTCAGTATCCTACCACTGAGCTACCCCATTCCCCTGTTGGTGCAGTTTAGGCGCAATAAATCCGAGTTTTGGTGCCGATTAATTACTGTAGATGATACTTGGATACACCATTATACGCCCGAAACAAAAATACAGTCAATACAGTGGATTGCAAAGTGGGAACTGGCTCCAAAAAAAGCAAAATCTGTTTTCTCAGCTGGGAAAGTGATGGTAACTGTTTTTTGGGATAGTCATGGAGTTATTTTAATCGACTATCTTCAAACAGGAAAAACCATTACAAGAGTATACTACGCATCATTACTTGACAAGCTGAAGGAAGAACTTGCAGAAAAACGGCCTCATTTGCAGAAAAACAAATTCTGTTTCACCAAGACAAAGCACCGTCTCACACTTCAGCTGTTGCCATGTCGAAAATCCACGAATTACGGTTTGAACTGTTTGACCATCCACCTTACTCACCAGATCTAACCCCAAGTGACTTCTTTTTGTTCCCTTATCTAAATACAGAGCTTTAAAGGACAAAGATTTGCGTCAAATTAAGAGGCAATCAACTTCGTGAACAATTATTTTGCAGAGAAAAACGCCGAGTACTTTTTGGATGGGTTACAGAGACGGGAGCATCGCTGGGAGAAGTGTGTAGAGTTACAAGGAGACTATGTTGAAAAATTTCAGAAAAAATGTCTTGTATTTTTGTTAGGTTTAGGTTAGGAAACTTTTTAGACTAACCTCGTATTACTATAGTTTCTAAAAAAAAGTATAACACTATCATTCCAGCTTTTCTTTTTAAATATATTTTATAATATAGATAATCAATTAAGTTTATACCCTTTTCAAAAAAAGGAGGAAGCTGGAAAAGGTTCAGTATTTAAATATATAGAAACCCACATCACAAATAAGTATCATAAGTACATAAATATGCAAGATGCAAGCAATTCTTAGACAAGGAGACATCTAGGCCACCAAGAAAACTCTCCAAAACAGTGAATGCAAGAGTGTTCGCCCTCATATGCTCAAATTTTCAAAGGAGATATTGAACCGACAAACTTAGAACCTGCCACAAGCACCTCAACATAGATTATTCCAGTCTCAACTCCAACACTTTATATTTCCATTTCATAACAGATGTCTAATATGAAACCCAGCCAACGCCAGATTTCCTTCATTCCTCCTCCTTCCGATTCCACTGACCTAAAAAAAATCCTATTGATATCTTCTCTGAATTTAGATTCCTCACCACTTCTCTTATTTCATTATTACTAATGTATTAAACATCATTCCACTGCCAAGAAATCCATAAATGTCATCAATGAAATCCTTGTCCATTCTCCTTTAGATTGTAAATGGTGTTCGAAATCACATAAACAAACTATTAGCCATAGGCTTAACAATAAAAACTTGATTAACCAGTAAACAACAATTCAACACACCTGACTACCAACCACAATGGAACTGACCACCCAGATGGAACAATACACGCTAGTACTGCTGCCATCATTCATGAATCCATCTCCCAGCACTTGTTCCCCTTACCAGTTCATAATTTCCTAAAATTCACAGCTATACAAATTCAAATGTCACTTATTTCCATAATAACTGCTGCAGCATATTCCCCTCTTTACCTTATCGGTACACACTTAAATAATAAACACCAGCAATGGCAAGAACCATGATTTTTAATGTGACGAACAGTACTGTCTGTTCTCTATTCCCACTGTAGCAACATTCTTTTCCATGATACTCCTATATACTGGGCCAACAGATCTTAATTACAATCCCGACCTCTTTGACTCTTTTATCCACAAAGGTCAACTGAATAATTTTATTTTATATCTTGATGATCTTGCCAGGCCCTTTATCTTAACCCTTTCCAAATCACAGAATCACAAATCACCTCCATCTTCATTGATTAGGAGGCCCAGATAACTGGAATCTCTTCCAAGAAATAATAAGCCATAACGTAGTCCTCAATGTATTCCTCAAAAACCCATAAAACTTAGATACCATAAATTCCTACACCACCTTGATCCAAGAAAGCAGACTGGACTCACCTCTTCTCCTCTCCCATAATAACGAAAAAAGTATTCTCTGCCCCAAGACTTTATAAATCTAATCCGTGCCAAACCATCTAGGACCATTTTGACATAGAACCAGGCATTTAGATGATCAATGATAATACGGCCATCTTTCAAAAATGGCAAAAAAGAAATTTTCTACCTTTAGTTCCCAATCTTAAATTTAAATTTAACATACATTTTTTCTCCACTTTAAATCTAAATTTTTTTAAACAAATATATCTTTTTAATAGCTGTCAACAGATCATTCTTCACCACCACAACGATATGAAATTTGGGTGCTCTACAATGATATCTCGATTTTATTACCCAATTTCGTAATTCTTCTTCTTTGTTCACCTCTGATGCCATTCCTAGCGTCGAGGATGCCTCATTCCAATGTAGTCATGCTTCTCGGTTCCAGCTAAGCTGCCTAATTTCTTGAAGACTTTTTTGTATCTTCCCTTCCATCCACTATATATAATCCTGGTAGGAAATTCTGGAACAACCTCTCGGTCTCCTCCCAGCAGGTTGAGCTTCCAATGCTTTCCAAGATACTCTCCCATTCTTCATCAGACATAAGCAACCAAACCACTTCAGCTCATCCCTTATCCATTCATTTTTATTTAAGTTTTTTTTATTAAAGTTTATCTGCACGAACTTCATCTCAACACCACTGGACTGGCCTGCTTGTCCAGCATAACCCAACTTGCACTTCTGTAAGTAAGGGTTGGTACACAGATACACAGGCTTGTATATGTGCATTTTAGTTTCTTTACTAACGTCTCTATGCCCCACTATGGTGTTGCAGATATGGTAATAAACCTGGTTGACTTTAGAAATCCTATGTGCTACTTCTGGAATCCTCCCAGTATTGCTAATGGCTGTCCCCAAATAGGTAAATTCCTAGTACCTCCCCATTACAGGTTACCTGGATATCCTCTCGTTTCTCTCTTGAAAGAATTAAAAATCTTGCTTTAGGAAGTGTTAATTGCCATTTCTTTGTAGAGGAGCTTTTCTTACCATTCCACAAGTGCCTGTTGCATCTGCTATCAGTACAATTTCATCTGTATAAACATAAAGCCTATGTGTAGACAATAGGCTTTGCACCATAACACTCCTTATGTTCCATGTGTTTTCCTGCCTCGAACCTCTTTCTATGGGTAAAGGCTTGGAATCCCTTCCATTGATTCTCACAACTTCTTCCACTTCCTGATAAACCAATTTAATATTTATGAGCATATCTCCTGGAACATTGTTTGCTTTCAAAACATCCCATACTTTTTTCTAGGGACGGAGTCAAAAGCTGCTTCAAGATCCAGAAATGCCATAAACATGCTCTGATTTCTATCCCATACTAAAACCCATCTGGACCTATGGATTTGAACTGTGGGGAACAGCTAAATCTTCGAACATAAAACACATCCAATCCTTTGAATCCAAAGTCCTTCGAACAATAGTCAATGCTTCATACTATGTCACAAATAAAACCCTACATCATGATCTCAATATCCCATTTGTCCTTGACTTGACCTAATTACACCCAGATTATCAAACTTCCATAAAAAACTTATCCATCATCCCAATCCCTTAGCACAATCCCTCTCCAGCTCCAACCATCTTTAAAATCCCTCAGTTGAAACAGCAATGGCCCCGAGACCTTTTGTAAATATACTATTGGAGTTCTGGCAGAGGCCAGCTTCTCAACTCAAGTCCTGAGTGTATGTGGCTTTAGCGTTCTCACTCAGCCTCCACTGACTTTCAAACTGTGATGGGACTGGGAGAGAAGCGCTGGGATCTGTTTTAGCCCTGCTTTGCCTTTCACTTGAGAGCGGCAAAGCATGGTTCAGGGTTCCCCAGGCTGAATGTGAATATTGTACATAGGAATTAATGTGTGACAAGTATTTTTTATTTCTTTTTGTTATCCTTTTAATGTTTTTTTTTCCTTTCCTTTTTTACAAGTATTTTATATTTTTGTTATTCTTTTATTGTATATATATTTTTACTTATCTGTTTTCTTCTTATTTCTTTTTTCTCAATTTGTATTTAATAGTATGAATGTACACAAAGAGCCTGAATGCCCAATGCTCTTGATTGTATTATTATTCTTCCAACGAAAAAATGTTTCACAAATAAATGATCTCTGTTTCAAGCTTTCTCTGCGATGCTTCTCATTACGAAGATGTGGTCTTGAGTCTGCCTCCCTGGACAAAAGCCTGCTTCTTCGTTTTCTATTTGGTTCATGACTATGGCCCTTAGTCTCCTTTCCAGAATTGGGGTGTAGAGTTTGAAAGCCATCAAAAGTAAGCTTATTAGCCTGTAATATTCACAATCGGTGGAGCTACCTTTCTTACTGATAGGGACAATGATGCTGAACTCTCAATCTCTTGGAATTATCTTTGTGTCCCACAGTGTTTGGAGAAATTGACTAAGTTCTTGACCTCCTAATTTCAGTAATTCTGAAGCTGTGCTGTCCCTTCTAGCTGCTTAACCTATTTTATTTTAGTTTCATAGTTCATGACCTTATAATTTATAGCATATTTTAATCTCAAAATGTCTTCGCATGGTTATCATTCAATCAGATATAAAGAAACTAAGCCTGGTAACTACTTAACTCACTTTAGACAAAAATTGAGTTATATGAAAATATTTAGAATTTATATGACAATATTTAAATAACACATCTTCTTTATTATTCTCTTAGCAATTGAGATTTTAAATAACAATGAATTGAATTATGGGTTTCATTTCATATAAAAATAAGACATATATTAACAAATTTTATAAATAATACTAACATTGTGCACTCCTAAACTGTGGTTAGTTACAATCCGGGAAAGGCTAAGAGGTAAAAGATGTGCCTCAGTTGTGAAGAGAAAATCATCCAAATCAATGATCAGATCACTGGGCTCAGCAAATAGTAGATATAGGTATTTAAATGTCTCTGCGAGAACATAAGAATCCATCCTAAACAGATATAAAGATAAAATTTGTAATAAAATTTTTTTAATTAAATTTTTTTGTTGTATTACAAAATATTTAGGTGAAAACTAAAATTTACTACGATCATCGGTTCAAAAGATATTAATTTTCATAATCATGATATCAGGCTTACTAATAAGAAATGGGGTGTTTGACGGCTCGAGCCGGTATGTCACTCCTTTCAAAGCTGTTTACACTTCTTCCTTCACCAGTGTCGTGAATTGTCTTATATCTCAATAAAGTTAAAAAGAAATTGACTGATAATATTGAGTATCATATAAATAAAGATATATTCCTCATGATGTATAGAAAACAAAAATTGTAATTTGAAGGTGCTTTTATTTCCTTATAGTTAATATTCAACTTAATGTGTATTATCTACATGAAGTATCTATACTACGACATCATGAAGTCTATATAACGAGTTATCCTCAGTTACAAAATGTATAAACTTATAAATAAATACCTAGAGAATGGATTCACATCAAATTTTGAAGACCTGCAATAGCTTTAACAGAAAATCTATCGTTCAAAAATTGTTTCACTAAAATCTGTTACATATGAATACATCCCATAGCTAAAATAATTTTACAATAAGCAAGAGTTTTGCTCATTTCATTTATTTTCTTTAAATTAAATGAAATGGTTGGCAATTTTATTTTTAAATTGTATCACATATGAAAATTTCGTATCACAAGTGAGCTTAGTGAAAATTTTACAAATATCTGCATGATCTAATTCAATTGTTTTAAATTCTAAACTAAATATCTACTTGAAAAATATTGGATGATGTTTAATGAAATTGCCTTTAAAGGAAATGCTAATAAAATTAGGGTAGGAAGAAATGGTTATTCTACAAGTTACCATCCTACTATCCGAGTGGAATTTTTGGAAAAACATTTCAGAGTCCTCTTTCCAACATGAAATAACACTTATGAGAAGGAGTTGATCAGGGGGTGCGGTCAAATAAATACTAAATTATACAAATGGTATTATTTAATTTTTGCCGATGTTTCGACCCACATTGCAGGTCTTCATCAGGGCTACAAAAGATACAAAACATGGTGAAAATAAAATAAATGAATATAAGTAAATATAAAATAAGAAGAAGTTGTCTGATAAAGAAATAAAAAGATGATATCAGAGATATAGTGTGTGACAATGTACCTATACAATATATTGTCACACACTATATCTCTGATATCATCTTTTTATTTCTTTATCAGATTATTTTTCACCATAAAATAAAATAACCTTTTGTAGTCCTGATGAAGTCCTGCAAAGTTGGTCGAAACATCGGCAAAAATTAAATAATACTATTTGTAAAATTTAGTATTTATTTGACCGCACCCCCCGATCAACTCCTCATATTATATCACGGTCAACCATCTCTACATCATTATGAAATAATACTTAATTTTACATGTCTGTTGTCACCATATTCTGTAAAGTTTATAGTAATTTCCATGGATTTTGTTATCAAAACATTTACCTTAGTTGTATTATGATTTTAAATGTTATTCATTTATTAAGTACAGTAGAATTTTTAATACATTTAGGTGCTTTTTGTTTTACATATGGTCATTCTTTCGTCAAAAATGAGTCCTAAGTAAATAATTGTATTTGCCTGCTGAATGGATTCATAGTTAACATAACTGGAGGACAGATGTCATCTCTGAGAGAGAATATGATGTGCTGAGATTTATTGCAGTCGATTTTTACCTTCCGTTATTTAAAATAGTTCAGTAATTGTAGTACGTAATGCTGGAGAGTCAATGAAGCCCAAGTGAAATCTGCATGTCTATTGAAAATATCTGTTCCCAATATTGCTGTTATTGTGTTTGGGTATACTGTATATCAAGTGAACAGTACTACAAGTGAACAGCCGCTCTGATCCTGCTAGGGTGATTAGAAAAGGAAGGGACTTCTGAAACTTGCCAAAAAGAAAAAACTTGAAAAGTAATTAAGATTAAGACAAATATAAATAAGCAAGATTTAAGTCCAATGTGCCATTCTGGCAAATGCTTGAACTGCTTCCAGGAATACGTAAGTAGAATATATTATTTTCTCTAGAGCGACTGAAATGTAATACTTGACTCAGTATAGTTGTTATACAGGGTGTCCAGCGATTCTCCTCCGATAAATTCCCGGTTTTTCCAGGTTTTTTTTTCGGATTTTTCAGATTTACACCGTTGTTTAGTTGTTTTCTTAGTTTTTCTAGTTTTTTACCCATAAATTCTACTGTTTCACATGAGGTGTTTGGTTTAAAAATAGATTACATCAATTTATTTTTCAAAAAAATATTTTTTTTATTTTTCACAAGTGTTAAATGTTCATTTTTATAAACTTAGATGTATTTCTTTCAAAACCATTTAGATCTTCCCTAAATCAATACCAAAATATTCGATTTCCTATCAAAAGTGGTTCTATACAATCTTTTTTGACCAGTTCTAAATCATTTTTGAAAATGGATGTAATCGGTTTTAAAACTAAACGCCTCAAATAAACAATAATGAGTACAGCTGCCTATAGTGTCACGTAAGCTCTTATCGAAATCTATACTCATGTTACACTTTTCTTTTATTTTATGAAAAGTATATTTGAGTAATGGTCGGTACATATAAATGGGAGTTCTGAAAATGTATAATATATAAATTTATTATTATTATTTTTTTTAAAGAGAGTCACTTAATATCAAATAGATTTTGTATATAAATCCAGAGTTTTTTTTTACTTTCTCTCCAGAAGAGGATAGAGGATTAATGTCAGAGGTTAAAGTCCCTATGGCCCCGGGAAAGGACCTCGGGAAGTAATTATTATATCTTGTAAACTTCTGTTTACAATGCGGGCAACACGTGTATTGTGCCCTACACTTAAATTGAGTTGGAGTTTGAGAAGTGCACTTTGACGCTAACCATTTTATCACTTTTTAACGCTTTGCACAATTCCATGGCCCCTCTAAATTAAAGTATGGTGTTAGAAATTCGTAAATTGAATTGATGTGAGAAAAGTTCCTTCTAAACTCTCAACTTTTTCTTTCATCTTCTCTCTACATCCCTACATTTCTATAAATTTAATTCGGAACTAAATAATAAAATGTTCAAAAATAAAACATAAAAAAGATATTCAGCAGCTTAAATGATATAAAAATTATATTTAAATCCCCAAGAAAGTATTTAGACACCTATTTTCATAAAAAAAGTAAAGGAAAATGTGACCTGAATGACGCTGACACGTTGTGCACTTCTATTTATTTTTAAAATGTTTTAATCAGTTATTTAAAGTTTTGCCTAAGCGGTTGAGTAGTTTATAAATTGTTAAATAAGTTAAATTGTTCAATATAATCAACAAGAAATTTAAGTAAATTATTCAAAATAAGAATAGTTGAAACTGCTTTTTCATAAGGGAAGCTTTGCATTCATGACTGAGGTTCAACCATTTTATGTGTTCCGAATCGTTAAGTATTACTCGCTTATTAACTTAAAAAAAAAACCGACTATAGAAATTGTTATAAATACTATGGACACAAGTAGGAGAAGGACCAATAAAGTAACTCCTTATAGAAACTTTTTAGATGTTAACTAGATATTTTTCCATGTTTTCATCTGAAAATATTTCTGTAAAGTTGTATTTGTATATAATACAATATATGGTATTTGTAGAAAATACTTAGCATTTATGGAATTTTATAATCTTTTTTACCTTTAATAATCAAAATGTGATTGGGGATTCTTGACTCATCTGTAAAACGTACAGCACTCCATTCGTCCATACTCCAATGGCTGTGTTCTCGAGAAAAAGCCAGTCGTGTTACTCTGTGAGTTCTGGTCAACTCTGGTCCTCTCACTGAACGAAAAGCCATTAATCCATACTCATTTAATCTTCTATGAGCGGTATGTTCAGAAATTTGCACACCTCCGACTTCTTCGAGCTGATGAATCGCTTTTGCCGCTAAGGCATCGCTAAGGTGCCGGTTTTGTAAATTCTCAAAGTCGAAAAAACAGTCATCCCATGGTTCTGTTACCCTAGGCTGTCCAGAACCGGGCCTTCTATTGTAAGAACCAGTTTCCCGAAAACGCCTGACGGCGTCTCGTAAGGTTTCATATGGAACTCCGATGGCATTAGCTACATATCTAATGGAACGTCAATCATCAATAAGTGCCACACCATGCACAACATCCTCAGCACTAAGAGGCATTTTTAAACTTAATATTAAAAAAATTAAAAGCCGGAGACTAAGAAATGTGCTGCAAGAAATGGCACTAAACTAATGATACTGAATAAACATTTTGATTCCATAGAAAGTAAACATTGGAATCTAGAATCATTTCATTGAATTAAGGATTAAGGGTTATTGTCCTCTATATTAACATTCCTAATTAAAAACAAACAAAAAGATTACCTATTTATTCATTAAAAACAATAGACCAATCCAAAGCAGAAATATTTCTAGATGAAAACATGAAAAAATCAAGTGGGTGGAATTTTTTGCCTGTCATTGTATATCTCAATACCATATATCAATCAATATTTCGTGATATGAAGGCAAGCAGGTAACAATGGGCCATATGGCTTGGAGCAATCCATCAGAAAGCCTGTACACAATATTGAATGCCTTACTAGCAGGCAAGAGACTAAAGATGCTGTAGACCTGCTTGCAGATAACTGGAAAAAATAGCCCCAAGATAGGCAGAAACGGAGAAGGTTGATTAAGGTGACAAAATATCAACAAAATCTGTATAGCCAACAGACAAAAAAATTTTCATACTGTTTTTTGTTTTTTTATTTTCTGTTAAATTGCTTTCTTCCTATATGGTTCATATCTTGTTTTTATTTAGTTTTCGTGAAGGCCTAAAACATATGTTCTCTACTAGTTATCAATATCAGAATTTTAAAAATAGGTTTTTAGTGGCTAAGGTGTATCTAACTACAAGATTAACATTTTTTATTAACTTTTTTGCTAAGTTTCAACTTATCAAAAATTTTGGACAAAGCATGTCTTATATCTTATGCCCAGAAGTATATGCCATAAAGTAATGAGTTGAGATGGCTGAGAGTTTTTATATCAAATAAAAATAAAATAAAATTTTATTGTTTAGCTCAGCTCGTTTTTTTTAACATTTTAATTAGACTAACCACATCAAATCCAAGATCAATTTATACATCACAAAAGTTGTTTTATACTGTGGACATATAAAGTACTTCATGAAAATAATAATTGACAAGACTAAAATATCGCATTCCATATTTCTGACCTAGTTTTTTTATTAAAAACTAGAGCATTTATAAAACATGAAATACTGATATGATGTTCTATAGATAAGCTATTACTTTACCTTTTTATTTATAAATTTCTTATAATTTTCCCATTCAATTAAATTAAATAAAAACTGAATTTTTTATTTATTCTTTAATTATGGCTTGATGTTACAGGATTGAAATTTAAATTTAGTAAAAAAGACGTTCTCTTCCTGTATATTCTTTATTTTTCTATCTTTTACGCTACCGGTTTCGGTCTTTAATCAGACCTTCTTCAGGGTAACTTATGGTGGTCCTCCTTTCCTGCTTGTCAAATGAGGACATTAGAGTCCTCATTTGACAAGCTGGAGGACTCTATCCTTTTTATTAAAAATTTTATTTATTCATTCCTTAGAAAAGCGTGAAATATCAAAGTTATCGATATAGTTTTGAAGAGCAATAATTTAGGTTTCCAACGGTTGTAGTAATGTTGACTTAGGAGAAAAGCCTGAGGAGTTATAAATATTTTAGTAAACGGCATGAAAAAAAAAATCCTCCAAAAAAAATGACGTCCAAAAATTTATATTTTTCTATTTCAAAACAAACCCGTATTTAAGAGTTTTAGTTAACCCTAAAAACAAATCTGAATAGTTTTTTCATGACTAAAATTTACTTGGCCTATTTTACTGGAAGCGTCTATGGATTTTTGTAATTTATTACATATAAGAAATTGTTTAATACAAAGAGCAATATGTTTTTATTACTTTACACAAAAAAACAAATCGATTGATATGTAATAACTTATAAATTCATTCTGAGCCAAATCAGAAAAAAGTAACAAAAATTAATAAAATTTTATACAAATTTTTTTCTCTACTCCTAGGGGGCATTGACAAGAACCCTCGGACATAGGTTTAATATTTTTCGACCTAGTATCAGCCAAAAAGTTTCATTGAAATCTGTGACCCCACGTTTGTAACCTCTCCTCGTAAGTTACTCTCCTCATTTCAAAACATAATACACGTTGAACATAGAATGGACATTAATAAATTAAAAATTTATTTAGATAACTTTTGTAAATTGTAAGATAGATCAGTTAAATTAGGACTAACTAATCTTTTAAAAAATAGAGGCAGACAAAGTTTCTTTAATTACAACCAAATTTTATTCTTTAAAAATATGATGATGATCGTAGAAAGTGTATGTGTAGACCTCATTACTAACTAACAGTGCTTCTTACCTATCATCATGACGACCAGATCTTACATCAGATAGAGCAGCATAGCCACAGGGCACCCTTGTATGTGTTTGTAAACCTCTCAAAATCTTCTCACCAACACGTAAATAATGGTGGTCACCTGTTGCTCGATAAAGGAAATAAGTAGACTCTAAGAACTCAGGTCTTAATGGGTACTCACCCCAGTGAACCTAAAAACAAAACAACCGATAAATTGAAAATTAGACAATGTTTAATAACTTAAAATAATTGAATTGTTCAGGCACAGGCACTTATCATATATTTACTGATAAGTTTTTAGAAGTTGTGAATTTTTTTAAAATGACTTTCTGTTTCTAAACCCTCTTTCAATCGAATCAAGATATACAATACCTACCGTATTTAAGAATGATATTAACAATCTAAGTTGATTTAAAAATTTGAAATTTTCAGAATGGCAGCATATTATCTTAAATAGGTACCCCATACACAGGGAAATTTTTGATATTTGTTTTTCTTACTTATATAATTACAAATCATATATTTAATAACAATGTTAATTAAATATAGAGAACGTTTTTCTTACATAAAATTCCAGGTTCCTGAAAAATTTGATGTTTAGACATTGTCGAAAAATAGAGGCATAGACGCTGACCACTAGAGGCTCGTGGACCTTGAGCCTCCTCCCCTCCCCCCAATACTACCTTGGTGGGGGCTTAGCTTCCCCAACAAATTGCTATAGTTTGAACTTTATGAACATCAAGTCAAGTACAAAAATTTGAGCAAAAATAATAGTCTAAAAAGAAAGTAAAGTTATATTTGATTAATTAGTTGGATATCTAAACTGTAAAAGGAACAATCTATTAAATACTGTACTGTTTTAGTTTCAAGGATTTTTTATGACAACACTTTTTTTTGCCATCAAGAAGGGCTTGAAACAACTTAATACCTTCTTGAGATGGTAATTATTCTTAGAGACATATATTATATATTGCATATAGGCATATAGAATACATTACAAATAATATTCCCATTCCCCTAGTCCCCCTAACACATGATCCTATACTTTGGCTCTCCCAATAATTTCCATATGAACGGCGCCTATGAACAGAGATTCAATTGAATAGGGTAAACAATTTAAGAAGTTTGACTAACTATTAGAGGAACCGTTGATTTAGCCCTACTAATCAGCACTATTTTAAGTATTCTGGAAGTTATGGGATAGTACTCAATAAATACTTAATTAGATGAGCTCTAATAAAAGTTACATATACAGTAAAACTTCAATTAACTCGTTTTTATGCAAGTTTATGTTAACACACAGTGGTCAAGAAAATTAGAATTAGCATGACAAAATAGTTTTGCTTTTTTTAAGTTCTCATTTCAAGTTGAGATTAGTTGATCCTGAGATAAATTTTTTTAAGGTATAATTTGTTTTTCTTAATTAAATAGTTTAGATTTTATTGAAAATTTTATTTTCACTTACCCATATATGAAATATATAGTAAGGGAGAGTATTGAAATAGTAAAAAATTTCTTCTTCTTAAGTACCTATCATATGGTTTATTTCAAATAATTAACAGTCTCTCATGATTAGTAGTAATATGAAGCGGCTAAATATAAAGTATGAAAAAACATGTACCACTACAACCCATGAAGGGTCTTATTTAGGGAAAGTACTGTTTCTTAGTCAGCAGTCTTAACTGCCAGTTTTACCCCTTAACTAAGGGTACCCACTGGACAATAATCCATACCGTAGGCTGGATGTGGCCCAGGAGGATCTCCTGATCCCAGAGTCACCCCATAGCTGATGAAACAGAATAAATAATTTTTCTGCCATGAGCTGGGACTCGAACCCGGGACCATGAGCATTGGAAGGTCAGTGCCCTACCACTGGTTAGTTTGTTAGTTAAGCATAATTAGGAGCATCTGTCAAGTAACCTGGACAATAATCCATATCATCTATTCAGTTGTTTTCCGTCCAGTGTAATATGGGTTCTCCATTTCAGTCTCTTGTCCAAGTGAAATCCCAAATATTGCACCTTTTCAGATATGGGAATAGCAATGTTGTTATAGTATACCAGTGGAAATGTTCCATGGTTTAGTGTAAAGAAAATGAACACACTTTTAGATTTGTTCACTTTTACCTTCCGTCTGGAAGCCCGATTAAAAATGGTTTTGAAAGACAGGAAATTTTTTTAATCCACGAAAGGAGGAAACCAGGAGAAATATTTTTCAGGCTGAAAATGAATTTCCAAAAATAAAAATCAGAATATATATATGTAAAATATATCACTGGAAAAAGCTAAAGATTTTAGAAAAAACAATATCTAATATACTGTAATGATTTTTATTTATCAAATTATATTTAAAATATTATGTTGGAGTTAAAAATAATGGAGGAAAGGACCCTCTCTCTACACTCATCTCAACCTAGTCTTTTTCCGACCATTGGGTTTTCCAGGATGGATTGTCTGTTTATTCCGGAATGTTCTGGAGAGAACATGTTTACAGTTGTCAGGCGAGTATAGATCTAAATGAAGACCATCTTAAAATAAAGTATCAATATCAAGATTATGCAGTGTACTACACAAGATCAGATTTATTAGAGACAGTATCAAGAAGCTATAATCATAGTAATTTATTTTATTTATTTCTATTCACTCATCATAAAATTTGTGTTTTGATTTAATAAAAATCTAGTGCAGTGTGCGCATCACACAACTTTCACTTACCACCCTCTTAGTAGGAATACACAACTTTCACTTACCACCCTCTTAGTAGGAATAAGTATTTTCAGACAAAGGAGAAGTAAAAGTAAAAATTATAAACACTATATTGATTTATATTTCATTGTGGGTATAATATAAATACACTTATTTACACAAATTTTAATATTTATATTGCTCGAATCTATACAATTAAAGAATAAATAACACCAACGAAAACCGCATATGTATATATGTTACCGTGAAAGACCGAAGTCTCCAGAATGTTGACTTTCACCGGTGAATGTCAACTTTCACATAGTTGCTTGGTGTACCTCCAAAATATTTGCTAAATATCCTTATTTCTGTCTTACACCAGTAAATGTCAATATTTATCATGCACTAATAGTGAATGTAGAACATGTTGGAGATTTATATTTTCTTCTCCGTGATTCAGTTGCTGTAAAACGTCACAGGGGTAACATAACTTTTTTTTAATCTCGTTTTGAGAGAAGTGACCAAGAATTTAAAACACAAAGTGCATTCTAAATGAGAAAATAAAATAATAGTAATAAAAAATTACTTAATTATGTGATTCAAATCAAAAACTTAAACTATTATGACACAGAATCCCTTGCTTTTACAACTGCATTTATTTGTGGAACACTTCTTTTTGCAATGACATAACTGATAGTCTTTCCCGCTTCTCTTTCGCGGCCACTCTTTTTATAGAGATTAACTCGTGTTTTTCGGTCAGAACTGAATGTGAAGACGTTGTAGATTGCAGGTTCTCTTCAATATTCTTCTTTGGAATATGTTTTTTTCGTTATGATCACCGTTCAATTTTTTTTTCAGAAGTATTAACAGTTTCTTCAAGCTGTTCTTCAGTTTCAAAAGTATTGGCAATTTCTTCGAGTTGTACTTCGATTTCAATATTTGCGATTTGTTCGTTAGGCAAAAAAGATGATACTATGCCTTTTTTTGCTTCAATGCCAAACATGGCTTCATAAGGAATTTGGCGTATTCCTTCGTGCTACGTAGTGTTCTTGCCAAATTGAACAAAGGGTAAACCATCTGACCATTTATTTATATCATTATCATTCATCCATGCAGTTAGCATATTCTGTATATCCTCATTGGCCCTTTCAACTGAGCCTTGTCTTTGGCTTTGACGAGGCTTTCAATGAACTTTCTCAACATCTTTCCACATATTTCGAATATGAATTCATTAGTGAATTCTTTACCATTATCTGATTGATTGCAATATTGCTGGTGCATCAAATGTTAAAAATATTGAAAGAACGTGATAAGCTACTTCTTCAGCTCTTTTAGTTTTCAAAGGTCATAGCTGGACAAACTTAATTAAATGATCTTGATACACCATTATGAATTTATTTTAGAAGTTTTAAAGTAAGATTTTTATGTTATACATTTTTAAATATATCAGAACATTTGACTAGCCTTAAACAGGAACAGAAAATTTGATCATTATTTATTTTTTTTTTATAAAATCAGAACAATACAAAGTCATAGGAATCATAAAGAATGATCAAAACTATTCAATAATTATTTTAGTTAATAAAGTCTACTTGTATACTATTTAATAGAAAGTAAATGTTTCAATAGAAATTGAGTTTAGTAGAAACTAAATAGAAACTTTTAAAATATATTGAAATTAGAAAAAAAAGTATTTATAATCCATCAACTCTGCCTATGTGAGGCTTGTCAGCCTACTGGAGGCAATTCACACCGACCAGGCACACGACTGATGACCCTATATAAACTGGGACCAGGATGTCAGTAGTAGAGCTGAGGTTTGATTCATGCACAGTATATTTCAGGAAAAAGATCCTTGTATATCCATAACTTAATTGCATAATCCATGGACTTAGGCAGATCTGTCACTGTCCTTGAACCTGAGTGAGTCAGTGGAAAGGACACAACCAAATCGTAGCAAGGTGAGGTTGGGTAGACAGCCTCTAAGCTATATGTGATGGAACAAAGAATATACTATAATGTACACCTTTATTGGAAGTGAGTAAAAAGGGTTTAATAAATTGATGTTGAACGGCAAGCTAATCTAGTTCTGCTAGTGCAAGGAAAAGAAAATGGCTTCTCTGTAGTTTCCCAAGAAGGAAAATCCCAAAGAGGAGAGGGACAAAGGTTTTTGTTTTGGCAAGCAGTTGGTGTTTGGCTGGGGTGAAGAGAGGATGGGAGAAGTGATCCTAGCCCCAGTGGGTAAAACCCAGTAATAGTATTACCATCTTGAAAGTCGTGTTTGGCAGAACCCTAGAAAGCATTTGAAGACAAATGAATTCAGTGCTACAAAGGAAGAAACTTTGTATATAAAAAAAAGGTTAGCTTCTCAATTCATACTTGACTTTATTTTAAAATCAGTGTTTAATTTTAGTGTAAATAATAATAGTTTGTTTGAGTTGATCTGATTGTCAGTAACCCACAGCTGAGATAAATAAATATATTAATGCTCTTAAAATTTTGTTTTTTATTTAATAACCTCTTATTTCTTTTGGAAGTATCCTAAGGGTATAAAGTGATCTTCTGAGATTATATTATTATTATTTGTAAAATATAAGAGAGATGTCACAATACATTAATAAGAATACCACATCTGGGCTGCCAAAAATCTACTATGCAAATGGGCTACAAAAATGCTATGCAGATTCAATCAAAAGGAGAATGAAACAGCCTTTCACATTGTGTGTAGATATGATAGATTCGCAAGGCTGAGACTGGAACTATTTGGGGAGGAAGGAATGGATCTCCCCAGTAGATATGAGACGGTCAATCCAACCAGCCTACTAAGATACGCGGAAGCGGCAAAAATAACGTTTTGATAATAAATGAATAACTGAATTGGCGCACAATGAACCCTTCAGGGGTTGATGTGACAGGACCTGAGCCACCACTATAAAAAAAAATCTATACATTACGTTTCTCTTTCATGCAATTGTAAGTTAATCGTAGTTCGCTGAATTAGAATTAGTGTTTTCCTGATGTTACTCCATATTATACTTAATTTTAACTCAGAGGGCTCTCGGACAAGGTTGGATAAGCTTCCATGTATTAATATTTTTAAAGAAGAATTATTAATATTTTAAAGAAGGATGATTGACGAAAATTAATGAAGAATAAATATATAAAGAATATATAAGGTAAGCGAAAAAAAAGTTGATCATTTTTTAAAAACATTAGAAGTGTCCTCTACGTATAATTTATCAAATTTCCATTTGATTTTTTGGTTTTGTTTAGAGAAGTTCGCTATAAATTGATGAATATCAGAGACAGAAGTTGTTTTCCTTATGAGCCTCAAATTTCAGTCAATATGAAAAAGGTTTTTAGGACATGGCTACTTCCTGGGAAAGAAAAAGAAACAAAGCGTGTTTAACAAAAAGGTCTTTTTTTATAGCAACATCATAGCGAAATTAGGATTAGGATTATAATAATATTTGGAAGCAAAAATACTTGTGATAAATATGTCGCTTGAAATCAGTATCATAAATGAAATCAGTAAGCAAAAAATACAAAATTAAAAGCATGTAATCAATAAGCTTCTAGGCTCAAGATCTCAGAAATATTGTTCAATAATAAATGAAGAAGAATGTATAAGGAGAGGAATTTGCTAAGATATTTATTAACTAATAAATTTCATGGAAATGAGGAACAATAATGTAATCCAATGCAATGCTTATGATCCAATTATGCTTAAAAGAGACAAAAGAAAATGACCACTTATATTCAAGTTCAATAACCACTGTATAGCCATTAAATTATAACTTATATATTACATAAATATGTGATCATTTTCTACTGTATATCTTTTGAATTAATTAATAAAAATTGTTATTATGGTGCAAATATGTTAAAATTTATGTGTACACCAACTAATAAGGGAGACAATTGATACATAAGATATTTTTATGAAGATTTTTTTACTATCATCTGTCTATTCATTTAACCGTCACATTCTTGGTCCTAGTGGTAATGGTTAATCGAAGTTTTACTGAAATTGTATTGATTTTTTTAACATTATAACAACTCATGCGTCTGTGGTATGTGCAGAAATATAAATATAGTTTGATTTAATCCAAGTGGAGCATAATGTTTGATTAAATCAAATAAATCTATTTCGATGCTATAAGATTAAAAAAAATTACTGAACTAAATAAATAGATTAATCTTATCAAAAATTAAAAAAATTTTTTTTTTTTTTTTTTTTTTTTTATTTCAATGGAATTTACAACTGTATTACATAGAGAATACAATAAGTAAATGAGAAATTTGTAACATGGCATGTACAACATGAAGAGAAACTACCCATTGGTAGAACTCAATTAAAAAATAAATAAAATACCTGAAAATCTGTGGTAAATGCTTCTGGTATGAAGGTATGGCGCTGCATTACTTGATAAAGCATTTCATGAGTTTCCACTGCAGGTTTCAAGTCACCACTCAAAACCTGAAAACACCTACACAGGGTAAGTCACTAGTTATGGTCATTTCATCAATTATGGAAAGGGTTTTGCTACTTTCGCAACCAGAGGTGCTCAGAGCGTAATTGTATGGCACAAGTTGTGCGGGTGGCACATTAAGTTACAAATTTTAAGAGAACTTTTAAACCAGGAAATAAAGAAAAAATAGACACTCTAAGGTTCACGTGTATGTAAAAAAGTATCTAAGGACACTGCACATTTGGAAGAGCAGCAGATATGGCTTTATTTTAAGTATTCAACACAAGTGGAGCATTGTCTTCCGTATTTCTAGTTTCAGCATTGACTCTTGTTAGTTCAGCTTGTTTGAAATATCGGTATGAGGTACCTTTATTGTATATAAATAATAAACACAATTAATGCCTTGCCTTAGACAATGGGACACAGAATAAATTTAAAATAAAGTATCAACAAATGAAAAACAAAAAAAAATCATGAAAAATTATCATCAGCCACAGGTCAGTTGATAGTATTTCAACATTCTGAAAGAAACTAATTAAGAAATAAATATTAATTTTTCTATCCTAAAATTAATTGCCCCCTTATTTAAAAAAATTGCATCCCCTTTTGACAACAATCTTGCAATTATTTTAGATGAAATTCTTATTTAAAAGACAAAATATTTCAAAACTAAATTATAAAATAATGATGAATTGCTGCTAAGGGCACACACAGAGGAGAGCAGGGGGAGGGGGACCTTGTCCTCCCCCTAAATAATTTAAAAGCAAATAAACATAAGGTCGAAAATTCAAGAAAATTGTTGTTGTTCATATAAAAATATTTATAAATTGTTATAATAATAAACTTTATGGAAAAAAAAATTTCTGTATTGCCCCTCCTAATATGAAAGCTGCATATGCTCTTGATTCCCGCCACGTTTCAATTGGTTATGGCTTAATTTAATTGTAAAAATTTGGCGTAGTGGGTGCATCATTAGTACACACATTAGTTAATCATCAAATTCTTTCATATTTCAAATTAAAAAAATTAATCTTTAGAGGAAGAAATATTGAAAATTAGTCATCTAAAGTCTGTTAGAGAACATTAATGAGAATAACACCTACATTATTGAAGAAAGTTAGTCGACTGTTCTACATATCATGGGTGATAAATATTCAGGACGCAGTCATTATAAAGATTTTATTGATACCGACGTTTCAACCCAAACATGTGGGTCATCACCAAGGCGTGTTTCAAGTACTGACAGTATTCAAGTACTCCACTGAGTACTTATATACCTTTAGTGCTCAAAAAACGTCCTGATGATGACCCTCATGCTGGAGTTGAAACGTCGACATCAATAAAATCTTTATAATGACTGCGTCCTGAATATTTATCACTCATAAAAACTGCTTAATTTCACCCTGTTATAATGAATTTAATCAAAATCGTTAGAGCCATTTTCGAGAAAATTGCAAAAACATGCAAAGTCGATTATATAAAGTCTCACTTCGGGTAAGCCGATTTTGACGAACCTACCCATCTTCCCATTGTGCACATGACAATTCCCTCTGTAATACATTAAAAAAATTCTAAAATCCCATCAGAGTTCCCCATCACCTCCAACAAAATTGAGCATCTAATGCTGATGCTCGAGGGAATTGGGATAGACAGAGATATGAACGGTAAAAGTATTTATACTCTATTCGACCTTCATCTTCTCTTACGCCTTACACGTCCGGTGATCTTTCAAATTTGGGTCCTATATGACTGTTACTGATGTTATTTGTTAATTGTAATCGTCTTATGTATTGTCCTTTAATATTCTTGAGAAATAAAACAATATTATATGTGCTAACATTGATATAACATATCATATAGATACATATTAAATATATATGTGAGTGGGGCATGTATGCATCTTAATTTTTTTTTTGTAAGCAAAATTTTTTTGGCGATGGAGCATGCATTATCAGCCTTGAAGCGGATTGACACCAATTTTCACAACAATAAGACTTTTTAGTGATGGTTCCTCAGATACGTCTCTAAAATATTTATGATTTACTTACTAGCAAATCTCATTCTCATGTTTCTTTCCTGTTGAGTATAAGATATTTCCAACCAATTAGAGCTTAACTATACCGATTTTGTATAATATGAGTGGTTTTATAAGTGAGGAATTCTAATGTAATTTATAATAATATGAATTATTTTGTAATTTCTTTATCTATTTTTAACCATTGAGATATGTTTCTTTTCATTTGAATTTCTGCTTTTTTAACCTTTTCGTTCGATGCTGCGAGTGAAGAGCTTAATGTCTACCAGTGCTGAACTAGCTGACTGAGGCCTGACTACCAGCCTGTGCTACATAATTTACCTACTTTCCACCCTTCATCACCAGGTCTTACTATTATCTTTTAACCTTATTTTATTGTTTCTTATCTCTTTTTTGAATCACTCTATGGATCGACACTGGTGAGTTAAAACTTTTACTATTTTTTTTTCATACGTTTAAATATTCATGTAATAATTTAATTTTGTATGGTATTCTTCAAAAGATTTGCCAATACAAAGAAAAACATTACAAATGAGATATTCTGTTTGTTTTGCACCGAATATTTTTTTTTTTTTTTATATTATATTTCTTTTAGCATCTTCCACAGCAATAAATCACTGTTCCTCCATTTTAAAGAAAATAACAAAGCAAAAAAAAACAACTAACTTTTAACTAAAAGATAGCTAAAATAATTAATTCTATACAGGCACGTAACAAACTAAACTAAATAACATTTTTAAACTCAGAGCAGTTGAACAGACTGTTGTTTCACACAGAACACAAAATGGTCGAGACAGCCAGAGAAAAGCCAAAGCTGGTAGTCACCCATATCAGTTCATGAATTCTACAATAAAATCTCCAAAAGAAATCCTCAAGCCATTTGTAGGCTTAAGTTAGAAGTTTCATTTCACTAGGAAACCAGTAGAATGTAGCAAGGTCAAGGTGGCTAAACTCGACATTAGCAATTGGAAGGAAAAGCAGTGGAATCTATAGCCAACATTATAGAGGTTTCCTATGGGGGCATTTAAATATCCCAATATAACTACTGCAGGAATATTAGCAGTAAATTCTCATATGTCAGAAAAAGACAATAGTCATTGTTCATTTTAGTTGAAAGTATTTTGACGGAAGAAAATATCTTTTTCTTGAAATTTTGCCCCACCAACATATCAGTTATTTACATAAAAATAACTCACATAGGATAAATAAACCGTATAAGTAATAATAATATTTTAACACAGTTAATAAACTCATCACTGAGCTACTACTTTAAATATGGCGTTTTGTCTTCCTCTCCCCCTCCTATGCATTGAACAATCTTACAATAATCTTTGCCAGCTTCTAGAATTAACACTATTGAAAAGGATAAGGACGGCTGAACTGAGTGCTATCTTGACATTATTTCCTGAAAACTTTCATATAGTTTTTCAAAGCCTATATATTTTATTTATATAAAGTTGATTATTTATACTAAAGTCATAATACAATATTTAAAAAGAGAATTTTACAATTCCATAACTTTATTGAACATGTTATTAAAACTTGAAATACAGACCTGAAGGCCTGGCCAAAATGCTAACAGTGCATCCATAAAATTCCTGGCATTTGTATGAGGACGATGCATGTGAACATCTAAGAGCATAGGTCCTTGACTAACATATTTCATTACAGCAGAATAGTGCTAAAAATAAAGAAAAATATATATATACTTTAAAAAATCTTCAAATATTGAGGGAGGGTTACATTTCTTTTCTCTTGGTTGATAACAAAGGTTCAATAATGGAAATAATAAATCAAGACTAATAATAATAATATCATCTACATAAATCATAATTATTTACTTAACGTAACGTAGGTGATAGTAAAGATGTACTAAAAACTGTACAGGTTAGTAGGCAACACTTTATCAAACAAGATGATTTATCTGCTGCATATTCAAATTAATAATATTAAATAAACTATAGTTATTATTAAAAAAATCAAAGTTCTGCTTCTTAAATTAAAATCTATTATCATGGCCAAGAAAATGTAAAAAATGGGATATTTTTGGCCTCCAAGTTAACATAAAAACCAAAAGAAGTTTACAATTTTATCAAGCCTTTTATCTGGAAATAGATTGTTCAATGTAATAGTTAAGGTTTTAATATTAATAGACATAATTATACATTGATTTCAATAAATGCAGTTGCAATTCGATTGAATTTTTATTTTAATAATACTGTTATCTCCTCAGCTTAATTCTCTGCTATATATTTTAGGAAAATGAGCTGATCCACTTGGTTGATACATAGAACTTTTCATGAATGGTTTTGAAATGTTAAATTTAAAGGAAGATTACACTGTGTAATAAACAAAATAAATCATTTAAGAAATCAATCTTATAAGTGTACAATTTCTATTCTAGTAGATAGTTACCTTTTTCCTAATGTAGAAATAACACAATATTTCTTTAAATAGTTAATAATAAACATACATAGAGTGTGAACGTGATCCTACCTTACTATAACTGATGCCCAAATGACAGAATGTTATAATATTCAATAAATAAATAGTAAAAAAAAATATGGTGTGGTCCATCACACAACTTTCACTTACTACCCTTTTAGCAGAAATAAGTATTTTCAAACAAAGGAGAAGTGAAAGTATAAATTATAGACGCTATAATTATTTATATTTCATACCGGGTATTTTTATTTGTATAAGTACCCTTATATATACAAATTTTAATATTTATCTTAGTGTAATCTATACAATTAAATATTAAGTAATACCAACAATACCATTTATGAAAACCGCATATGTATATTTATATAATATTGCCAGAGTCCATATTATATTAAGCTCATGTTGCATGTTATAATCTGCCGGGTGAGTTCGGGTGGGATCAATTACAACTATTCTTCATTAAGATTTTTTATTTCTCCTTTAGTTAATTATCAAATTATTTCATATTTAACTATCTTTTATATTAGAGATTAATGTGAAATAGTCAATTGTTTCAAATAAAACAAATTAAAGGTACTTTAGAGTTAGCTAATATTGAAAATTAGCCATTTAAGCACTGTTAGAGAACATCAATCAGAAAAAAAACTACATTTTATTTAAAACTGCCTAATTTTACACTAATATAATGAATTTAATCAAAATCGTTAGAGCCGTTTCCGAGAAAATTGTAAAAATGTGTTTAGACCATGATATAAAAATGCCACTTCCAGTCAGTCGATTTTGACGAAAAAATTACAGTAACATCCCTAGCATACAAAAACCTTAAATATGAAATCTCACTTTCGTACGACTTTTCGTTTTTGAGTTAGACTGTTAACACACATACCATTTTGCGGGATTTGGTTATTTGGACTCAGGAGACCTCAAAACGTGTATTTCCGTTGAAAACTGAGATTCAAAAATTTTCACGATCGCAATACTTTCCTTTACTATATATTTTATATATAGATAAGTGAAAGTAAAAATAGTAAAAATATATTGTGTTGGTAAAAATTTTATTAACATAAAGCTATCAAACTGAAGATACTTCAATGTTAAGGCAGTTCTTTTTAAGTGATTATTCCTTTTTTAACCCCATCAATTTCTGATATCCAATTAAGCAGATGCCATGAATCCATTATATGGATCAAAGTCATGTATAATCCAAATTTAAATAGGTGAAACAGTGTGGCACAACTAAGGAAATAATAGTTCATGTTTTATATCCTTATAAAAATCTGTAATTTTTTAAAATAAAATTATTTTATTGCCTTCTTTACATAAAACTGTGTCAACTAATAAATAAAAGTTTTATTTCATTTAAAGACTGGAATTAAATTAATTTTTTTTTTTTTTAATTTTGATGAGGTCAAACATCATTTAAAAAATAAACAATAATAGTTTTAATAAATGATAATTTAGCTATTTCTATAGAAGTTATGATGGCCGAAGAATGTTATAACAACAACCTTACCATTCTAGACTTTAATTTTTTTGTGAACCCATGGAATGATCTTAATAATCTAATAGTGGTTTAATGGTTGACTGTAGTGAATAACTGAAGAGAATTTTGTTGGGTTGTTCAGTCAAAATACAAAGTAAAAATAAATAAATGATATTTATGTTTGATGTAGAGATGGTTGACCGTTGATATGATATGTGAAGGAATTAGTCGAGGGTGCGGTCAAAAAAAAAAAAAAAAAAATTAAAATATATAAATAATTTTAATTTTTGCCGACGTTTCGACCCACTTTGCAGGTCGTCTTCAGGGCGTTGGATGTGGCACTGCGGGAGGCAGTTGAAACACTGGCCATTTATATTAATAATTAAATAATTAAATAATTTAATATTTATGTTTATTTTTGCCAACAATTCGGCCCAAAGGTCAGACCTTTATCAGGGTTAAGAAAATACAAGAAAACAATAGGTATGAAAAAATATTATGACCAAAAAAAAAATGATAAAATAATTTTTCATAAGAATGATTTTCTATGATGAACTTAAATTGTTGGGAGCCTGGCAATTTTTGGCTTTAATCTCCAAAGAGACAAATATATAAAATATAAATAATTACTTACCCATTATTTAAATTGGCCATAGTAAAACATTTATGCTACTATGCTAGCTCAGGTAAAAGAGTTAGATTGGATTTTATAAAGCACCATAAAAAAGGATCTTTCAAGTTAGTAGTCTATTTAAAGAAATATTTATAGAATTAATAATATGTACAAGCAAAAGAAATAAACAAACGAAAAAGGAGAAAATTTGAATATAATAACTATACACAATATAAAGATAAATAAGGTAATAAAGGTGATAGTAATAACAAAATAAAAATATACTAATTCTACTATGTACAATTGTATGGCATGCCACATATAAACCTAAAAGAAACAAATCTAGAACACATGATGCAAATGTTAATTCTAGAAATAGAATAATAAAATCCTCCTCTCCTAAAAAAAGAAGAAAAGGTTCTATTTTGTTCAAGGTCTAGTTAATTTGATTACACTAACAGTAAAAAATAATAATATGTAGGTGAAAAGTATTTTTATTTTGGGCCGAAACCTTGGCAAAAATAAAAATTATTTATTGAAGGAAGTTAGTCGACTGTTCTACATATTATGGGTGATAAATATTCAGGACGCAGTCTTTTTTATAAAAAATTTAAAAAAAAAATTATTTATTTATTTTTATTTGTATTTTACTGAACACCATAACTAACTTATCTTGACTTAATAATCTGAGTTGGATTTATTGTCAGGGGACGGAAGAGGCAGCGGGTCATTGGATTTACTTCTATCAATGAGCATTTATGTATTCTTTGAATCTAAGGGACTTTCTACAAATTTAGTCTCATAAGTTGTAACATACCCACAGAAGAAGAAGATCTAATCTTCTTAGCACCAAAACTTTTAGAGAAGCTGATATAGACTCTGATCATGGATGTAGCCTGAATTTGAGCTGGGATTTTAAATACTCAGAATTTTAAAAAAAATTTAAAGTCCCAAATATATACAAATAAAAAGTCATGAATCTCATAAACATGAAGGAAGGTTAAATTGGATAGAAAAAGATTTTTTTTTTTAATTAGATTTTGGTCTGTGTATATAAATTGAAATGTAAGGAAATATATTTTTTTTTTATCTTGGGACTTATGAGCCTGTAGAACAAATTATAAATATAAAATAAATAAAACCTGATAGTATGGCCTACATTAAATTAAACATTTATATAATAATAAGTAATTAAAAATAAAGTACAAAAGAGAAAAAACTGTAAATATATATAAATAAAACAAACAAAGAGAAAAAAAATTAACAAAATAGTAATGTAAATAAGCATAGGTTGTAAATGTCCGAAAATACGAAATGTTCATGGAGTAGTAGGTTCGGAAAGTAAACATAACAATCTAACTATCAATGGAACATGACTTGAAGATTTCCTAGAACAAAACCAGGGAATCGACTGATTTCTTGTGAATTGGGAATCTACCGATTCCAACTGAATCGGTGAATCAACTGGATCGATTCACTGGGTAGGAAATTATTGGAGAGGAAAGACTGGTTTCTGGAAGGGCTGATAGAAAATCAATCAAATAAGGTAAATGTTCCAGTAATAGACTTAAATTAGCGGTAAGAACATTTTAAACATTAATTTGAACTACAGTTTTAGTTCTAATCGTGGATCTTTACAAATGGATTTAATTGAAAGTAAATTTATTCTTTTATCGTAATATGTATGCTAGATAAACAGTTTTTATCAGTTTTCATACAGAAATTGGAACATTCTGACACTTAAATTTATACCAGTAATAGATACTCTTTTGTACCAGTTATAGACAGGCTGTTTTTTATAGGTAAAAAATTATAACAATAAACATAGGCATACTATTTTTTAATATATGCTAACCAATCAATGAAATAGTTAAAAACAAAATAAAACTAGTAAAATGATTCAGTATAAGACATGGGTGTCTATTACAAGCTCTATTGCTTCACTGCTGCTCCAGTAATGGACACCCAAGTTTTGGGGATGATAGGTTATTTTATATAATTTAAAACAATGAAAATACTGAAATAAAATATTCCGTACTGTTTTTTATTAAAGAAATGGAAAGGTACAATCTAATAAATTAAAGTTATTTTAAATTATCCATACAATTTCAAACTTACCTCCTTAACAAAAGTGGTAAGG